GGCACATGCAAATGAGTTGCGTGGCATACGCCAACAATTGTATGCCGAGAAAATGCCTCGTTTTGAACCGGTACTCAAACACCGTCCATTGATTTTCCGTTCTGAAATTGTAGACGGTGTTTGCCTTCCTTTTCCGGGCGCTGATCGTTCGGTTGTGATGCGTTCCCAACGTTTCATATACGAACAGGAGAAGAAGAGACCAATTCAAATGCATGCCTATGTTGCATTTGGTTCGTATGTTACCGCATGTTTAGTTGCCCTGGTTGCTGTAGTCTTTGGTTTATTGGCAAAGTTCTCGTTTGGCCGTCGTTTACTATTGAAATATCCTGGACTATTTTCGTTTGGTTTTATCTCCCACGAAGGTCCCTCTGAAGCTGCCATGGAAAGAACCTACTTTTCAATGACAATGAAAGCCTTGGGCTGGCCCAAAACCGACAACAACACTCCACCCACTGGCTCACCATCTAAATCTTTGATGGTTAGGGTTTCTGGTCCAAATCCAGGCTATGGTGCCACCTGTGTTGCTCTATTGTCTACAGCAAAGACCATCCTGAAGGAGAGCGACAAAATGCCTGGTAAAGGTGGAGTTTTGCCACCAGGTGCTGCTTTTGCCAAAACAAGTTTGATCAGTGAATTGGAAAAGCACGAACACGGCATGAAATTTGAAATTTTGGCCAACAAGTGAAGTGAAAAACTAATAATTTGTAAAGAAAAGCATTTGAATGAAATTCCCATAGGACCCGAAGAATAATAGTATTTGGGCCCGGAAATGCATTAAAATATATATTTTGGTTACGGGGTGATAACTTTAGCAAATAGTGTCTTATAAATTATAACAAAAAAAACAAATCATTATCTAATTTGTAAGAAGAAATGTGAATGAAAATATATTATCAAATATAAACAATATTTAACATGAAAATAATAAAAAAAATATTTTTTCTTGCAAGACTTTGCCTTAAACACACAAATTTGAAAACTCCAAAAAACACCATTATTAAATAACGATAATAAATGAAGTCTAAATTACTTTAATAGGCTTCAACATCACTTAGATTAATTTTGGAAGGTTAATCACTTTGGTAGAAACCGCCAACATGAGAAGCAAATTATATGGGAAATTATAAAAAAATGTCGTAAATTTTTTTATTATATAGGTGAAAATAATTAAAAATATACTAATGACAACATAACATCTAACATATATTGACTGGATCGATTATACACATGTTCATGTGGACAATAAACCTTGAATTTCTTTTTATGTTTATTTTTTGACTAACGATAACCTTAAGTGGCATAATCTGCAATATGATGTTCTCAGACAATAGACTGATTGGTGATAGATATGCCTACGTCATACGGCTATAAGTAGACGAAGAAAAAAATCAATTATAAACACAATTTCATATAGGAAATGAAGTTGCTCTAAGACGATTGTACTAAATAATCTGATGTTATCAGAAATAAACGAAAAAATCCGTCTATAAATAGATTACTCTTTACTGGTCTTATATAAATAGTATACCCTTCTTGGAGGTGATTTATTATATAATACCTGTATCAATAGAATATTTTTTCTAAAGAAGAAATCGCCAGAAACGGCTTTCGTCTAAAATAAACATGTAAAAGGTATTCCATCTGTAGCAGAAAAGCAATGTTTCTTAGACGGTATTTAAATACTTATGTTATGTTTAAAGTGTATGCACCGTGCATGCTTTTACTCAACGTTTCGTTGGCCTTTTTCCAGCCTCTTCATGGATGTTTATCAGAAAACCTAACGACACAAACTTTACTATGACAATTGTGTTTTTTGACCTAATTATTTTAGAAAGTATGGACATTTGAAAGATATTTGTGTGTGGGTTTTTGCAGAAGATGATTACAAAGGATGCCTGGTCTCCTTATATGATAACTACTCCAATAGAAAACAAACAGATCGAAGGTGTTCATCTTGAAAAAAAGGGGGTTTGATAGAAGTGAATTTCGATTTAAAGACATAAAAGCAGAAACATTATTTCAATTAAAGCAATTCATTATTGTGTGATATGATATGATGAATTTGCCGTAGACAAGGCAGGTCTGAGTGGAAATAACGATGCCTGGGAATTTTAATTCATATTTGGCTAAATTGATGAAGATGTGCTGAACATCCGCCCAGCGGGAGCTATTAGCCCGCGCAATACGCAACATCTTTTTAATCGCCCTGCCAAATCTAACCAACTCACTCTAGAGGATCTTTAACAAACAGCCCAACAACAACCTGGCTCAGATCCGTATCTAACCAACACGTCTACTGGTTCATTTCAATAACATTTCGGTAACCTCAACTTCAGAAAAGCCTAACAATGGATTAATACAATTCTAATAACAGCAATGGATTTAATGTTATGCTAATTTAGAGCCTTCAGATCTGTAGTATTTGCTTGTGGAATGAAAAAGGAGCCGAGGTAGACGCATATTTACTTTTAATGACATTCATAGAATCACTTTCTGATTCGTATTCCAATTAAGATGAAATTTTTCAACTTGGATTTTTTCAAAATGATTTTGATGCAAATCGGTTCAGATTCAGATGCAAATCGGTTCAGATTTAGATATAGCTGTCATATAGTGACGTAATCGCGGATTGATGTTTCAAATTTAACCAAGGGGTATTTGAGGTCCTGATTACAACGTTATACAGTTTTTCTTGGGAAAGTCCACATTTCCCGAGTAACGGGCCTTGGTTGCTCTCACAAATCCTGGAAATATACCATTCACCAACGGAACTTTAACTCGGGAGCTGTAGAGCTGGATCTAATCAAATGTGTATACACGAACTTAAAAAATAGGATTGGTTTTACTAAAATAGAGTAAATGACAATAATTTTTCAAAACATCCTCAACGATGGCGCTTTTCCAAGTAAGGATCAGACTTAATATCAAATACAATAACCGATCGGGACACCTGCCTTACAAAGAAGGCATGCAAAGGGATTTCAATTAAACGAACTTTTTAAGAAAAAAAATCTTACATCGTATATAACCTTACCAGTCATATACCGGTCGGCTAGATAAACTTGAAAGTATTCATTATAAATTGTAAAAAGTCAAACTCTTTTATGGCCATGTGTTTTGTGGATTAAAATTAATAGACAAAACTCCTGGTCCCACTACTAAAGTGAGTTGAAAAGGCAGGCTTGCAAACACATAAGTGGCAAAGAACACAGCTGGACAATCTTTTGCATTAATGCTTTTACGCCATGTATTGCAGTAATTTCAACGACAATTCTCATTTAATATTTTACATAGGTATATAATCACAACTTACCTGCATTTATTATTTCATATTTTGCACTTTTAATAAGCAATTTTAAACTTTTTCACTCATTTCACAAACTTCACTTGTAACCGCGTAACAAATACTCAATAACTGATAGCCCATAGAGAAAAGAAGAAGAAGAGTGCAGTTTGCTATACAGTGTTGTATTTCAGTTGTACTAAATGCATGCCGCATGGTACAAGAAAACATACAGTCGTATCGACACAGCTGCTGGAAAAATAAACTGTTGGAATTAAAACCCAATTTGAAAAAATTATGATTTAATTAATTGTTAAAAAATGAATATCATAATAATCTCCGATTTACGTCGTATAAAAACGTATAAAATTTACTTATTTTTGACAAAACATTTTAAAAATGTTGACATATCAATGTCCTCAAGCGTTGATGCATCTATCTATATTCTTCTACCATGATTAAAACGTCAAAGAAATTTGTTGTATCCAATCAGAAAACGTTGGTATGCCGTTAATAGTTAGCTTTTCAGTTAATGGCTTTAACTTTTTAAATGAGAAGTGCCGGCTATTTTAAAGATAATTTTGTCGGGCACCCCGAGAAAGACAAAGCGAAGCGAAGAATTAAGGTGTGGATACATAAACAGCTTGAAGTCTTTGCATGGCATATCATAAGGGGATAAAAGTGCTAGAGACGCACACGAATTTTGCCGTCGTTTTTCTTATAATTTTACAATAATATGCTTAGCTGCTTAAACCACACCTTTATTGCGATTAATGATGCCCTCGCCTTTTGAAGATTCGAAAATAATACTCACATCAGCCTTATAACGATATTGGCCAAAAATATTGTTTCCAGTGTCTTTAAAATAGGCATGGCGGTTTGACTAAAAAATATATATACTTACAAAGATTGCTCGGCTGTTGAAGCATTATTCCTTCTTCATCGCACATTGCATCTGTAAAGCATCGGTTGCCAACAAAATTGGTTAGTTTTGTCCCAACTAAGTTCAGGATGGCACAGCTTTATTATGTTATATTCGTCGCGCATTATTGATAATGTGCCAAACACCAGTCCTGCATGTAATGTAAAGCCGCTAGCCAACTCCACAAATGTAATAATGTTCCACCAATCTTATCTACCAACTTTCGAAGGTTTTTGGCATAAGGAAATATCCGAATTTGTATAGTTGGATTTGGTGACAGAAGAGGATTAGCCTACGATCACGCCAATATAAACTTCTTTCATAACGACTATCTGTGACCTTGGAGCTATTTTCATATATCATTCGTAACACTGGTTCTCTAACCACTTCATTACTATAGAACCAATTTAAGCCGGTCTCAGTAGTATTCACACTGATGGAGTCATCGCTGAAATAACCAATGCAGTAGTCATTCCATCAATTGCAGCTAAAGAACGTCGGCTACTTAGACAAATCAGGGAGTCAATTATGATGGTCTTCTTACTCTAAGATTCAATATTTAGTTGATTTTAACAACATTTTAAAAATAAATTTAATGTATCTACACATTCAAATGTATATCTATAGATTTTTTTCCAATTCTACCACCGACGCGAATCGGCCACTTTTGCAATAACTTCGTTCAGTCATGGTGCAGTCATTTAAATTTAAATTAAGTGCGTATATTTTTATTAAAAATAGTTATAATAATATATACTTACCCTTTGTTTTCAGTACTCAAATTGTATTCTCTCCTTTCTTGATCTGATTTGATTTTCCACATTTATTACTTTCTTAATTTGTTTTTTTTTTTTTTAATTTGAATTATTTTCGAAATATTTAACAGTGTGATCCATCATATTTTATAATTTATGTAAAATTGTGTACGAGAAATTGTCAAAGCATGATTGATTGTCTTCTTAAAAAAAGTAAAATGACATATATATATATTTATTTGGTGTTTTTTTCTTGACAAATATACTTGTAGCTACTATAAAATAAATGCGATTTACTTTCAAAAAATAATTTATTAAAAAATATAATAATCAAATAAAAATATTGTTTTAAACAATTTTCTTCAATAGTTTTTTTCTCTTGGGATAATGCATAACAACTTGGTTGAATATATAGCACTTTTGTTTTGTTTTTCTTTTTAAATTTTATTTGTTTTTCATTAGCTCTGTTTTTTTCTTTCTTGTTTTGTATATAAATATATATAGTAATGGTATATTAAATATATATTTTGTTGTAAATAAAAATTATATTGAGTCAAAGTGATTTGTGTTTTTTAGTGTGTATTGGAAAAATAGTAAGGATTGCTGTGTTTGTGCATGTGAATATGTGTAATATTTAAACTAAAAACATATACCTAGAATATTATTTATATAGTATTTTATTATGTAAAGGAAAAACATATTTTAATTGGTATTCAGTTTGTCTGCATTAGCCAATTTATAAGGCATAGTCGAGAAGTATTGTGATATTGCTCACTCTGCACCGTTTTCTAAGTTTAATAAGAAACAATTCCCATTAATGTCGATAAGAGATTGTGGAAAAGATAAAGGAAAGGAACAATATTTTTTAACAAATATTGTGTGTTTTGGAATTTGGATATTTTTCTATAAAATAAAATTGAAATGGAGGATCATTGAAATTTCTTATTTTATAAGATTTTATCTAAATTCCACAATCCTATTTCTTTCCATTAAAAAGAATAAATTTCAAAATATTTTAGAACTGTTGAACACTTCTAACATTGTAAATATATGATAAATATTTTAGTTTTTTTTTAGAAAGGCATATGGTTTCCAATTGGGATATTTGGTAATATTTCTTTAAATTATTTTTATTTTCTTTATATAAAATTATATTACAAAACAACAAAACACCCAAGCGTTGTTTATATAGTATTCCTAATAACTACTTGAACAGGAGGTGTGAAGAATTTGTTCGTTTTCAACATTGTTAACATTAGCGAAAAACACGTATTTCAAAACAAAAATTGTATTTGGAACTTGTAGATTAAAAAAAAACATAAAAAATTAATATGTAGTTTGACTTTATGCCATGCATTTTCAGAGAGAGAGAGAGAGAGAGAGAGGGAGCGGGGAGTAAGAGAAATATAAAACATTGTTGGTAAGTGTTAAAAAAAAACAATAAAAATAATTAGTTATAACAGCAAATATAATAATGAAAATGGCAAATATCAGAACATAATGGGTTGATCTTTACGTTGATCTATCACGTAACTGGTGAAACGTTTAAGGAACTTTGGATATTCACGCTTATAAATAGCGCGTAAAGCAGAGGCAGGAGCCCAACCGCCGGGATTGACTGAAAAGAAAAATATAATTAAACGATGAAATCGGTATTTCATAGAAAGTAAAGGAAATCCATTGAATGTCACGTATGGATGAGATTATTATTATTCTTTTTATCATCATTTTTATTTAATTATTATTATTATTATTATTATTATTATTATTATTATTATTATTATTATTATTATATAACTTACATTTAGGACCAAGAAAACAATAATGTCGCCTCCTTATATGACATAACGAATTGACCTAGATGTTTAGGTGAATCCACTTCTCACATAAAAAAGTCAGAATGCTTTGACTAGCATAGAACGTATTTTATAAGGGATCAAATTGGTATCAGTCTAGGTATAGGAGCATAATTTGTATATCCTGTCTCGGTAGGAGAGATTAATTCGTATAAATTGCAATACAAATAAGTCTGATCCTATTGGCCCACCACAAATTGTGGCAACCCAAAATTTTATGACGAATAAAAATGTCCCCTTCCTAGTAAGGAACCGATTGATCAAGTCGGGACCTGCCGAGGCAGATGGGGATAATTTGTTATTCTGCACCGGGGTATTTTAGTACCCACCAAAAATTATTGTACCTCTGCCAAGGGGAATTTTCACTGACAGATTAAACTGTTTATCGCATGTTTTACATGTGGAATAAGAGGATGATGTCAAGTCCAATAAATTTACACCCCTTAATTTATAAAGGGGAGTCCAAATGCATATTTCTCCCTTTACATGTCCTCTAGACAAACACTTTCCTTAAAAACTTAAAAGTTTATTATCCAAGTTCGGAGGGTTTGTCAAGTGTCCCTTCAGAAAACAGTCAAATTGTCATCTATGAGAAGATACTTTAGTCTTCTATGAGAAAACCATTTGGTCTTCTATTAGGAGACATTTTGGTCTCCAACAAGAAGACCATTAGGATTCTATGAGGGGACACTTTGGTAAGAGAATACACTTTGGTCTTCTATGAGAAGAACTATTAGTCTTTAATGAAAAGACCTATTTGTCTTCAAAAGAAGACCTTTGGGTCTTCAATGAGAATACACTTTGGGGTTCTATCAGTAGACGGCTGGGTTTCTATGAGAAGACCCTTTGGTCATCTAAGATATACCCTTTCGTCATCTAAGAGAAGACCCCTTGGTCTTCCATGAGAAGACCCTTTGGTCTTCAATGAAAAGATCCTTTGGTCTTCTATGAGAAGACCCCTTGGTCTTCAATGAGAAGAGCATTTGTTCTTCCATGAGAAGACACATTTTGTCTTTTACGAGAACTTCCTTTTGTCTTTACTGAAAGTACCAGTTTTTCTCAAAGCCAAACATGTCCTTTAGAAATGTCCTAAAATATTGTTGCCCTGTGTAAATAATTTATGGAGGGCGAGGTGAAGACACTTGGGACATTCCTTTTCCATCATAAAATATATCCATAGAATAGTGCGGGTTGCACAGTTCAGCTGAAGAACGCATGTTGCCAGAAACTAGTATAGTTTTGGCCTAACTATGTCTAGTATGACTTATTCACACTGGTCGCGGATACTTTTAATGTGTCGAACACCAGCCTCGTATACAATGCAATGCCCCTAGACAATCCCGCAATGTCAAAAATATCCCACTAATCTTACCAATCTCACCAACTTCGGACAGAAGAAGCTGCATTTTGGAAATTGGAATTAAATCCAGAATCAGATAAACATAACATAGTTACACTACTACATATTTTTGATCCTTCCAAAAAATAGTATATTCTTTTTTCATTTACTTTTTTGAATTATTTGTTTTGTGGTGGCATTACGGCACAGTAACTATTTCGAGATCCTTTTATGTATATTGTTGAAATGAGCGCAACCTTTGTCAATGATCCCTTCAGAAAATTCTTCGTACTTACCCACAGAACAGTACGTGACTTTACACGTTAAATCGTCACGGGTCAGTTTATCCCCTTTAGTTTTGCCCGGTGGCAAATGTGTCTGACAGGCCATTATAACTGTTAAAAATATTCTAACGCATTTGCCATTTTTAGACTAAAAAACAAACAAGAAGAACACATAAGTTCCATAATAAATAACGAATTTTACATCTTCACATATTTACTTCTTGTGTTGAATAATTTGTTGAATTATTGCAAACGATCCAGGTATCGACAGCACCCTCGTCCAAACCATCGGTAATTTTGCGCATATGCGACCAGAACAGGGCATCTCTTTGACTAGCTGGCCAGACACGTTTGTGGGTCTGTAGGAATAAATATGTGTCTGGCGAGATTTTTTCCAATATTGTGCAGTCCTCCAAGGTGGCTGGAGATTTAAACCAAAAAACATTTTGATTACGGAACAAGAAGATAAATATTAATTCCAACTTACTTTCCCATTCGTTGCGGAATTCGGGCATAAAGAAATAATGACACATTTCTCTGGCCGTTACACCCTTGACGGAATGATAGGCTTTTAGGGGATCCACAACCATGCCATTGACTTCCTCCTCACGTTTATACATTTTTATTTCGCCTTCATCGGCAAATATTTGCCAACCATTGCCGTCCTGACCGACACCTTGTCGGGCATAGTGCAACTGTTCCAGGCAAACCCGATCAATCTGTTGAAAATAATAAAAGCAAATGAAACGAATTATTAATTTCCGGTGAAGCCATTCAAAATAAAAAATAACAATTTCCCCTCACCTCTTCCCACAGATCATGTGACCTGGCCAAGGCACCAGTACCAAATTCGGCATCGACATCATCGTTTTCACCATTTTCTGTTGCTGACGCATTCACAGAGTTGTGTGTGGAGATTTGTGATTGTTGTGATTGCAATTTCAATTTAACTCTCAATTGCATGTCCTCTTCGATTTTATCCAATCCCGTTTCAACAGCATCGAAAAATTCATCTTCCGGTAGTGTGGAATGCGGTCCTTCCTGTAAAGGGAAAAATAGTCATATTTTTTATATTAATTGAAATCTAATTACAAAATAAAACAAAGATTGCAAAAGTGATTTTAAACAGAGGAACAACAAAGACAAACATAAAAATAAATTCTATAGGAAGACCTAGTGGTCTTCTGTGAAAAGACACTTTTGTCTTCTATTAGAAAAACCTTCAGTCTTCTATGAGAGGACCATTTGGTCTTCTATTAGAAAAGCCTTCAGTCTTCTATGAGAGGACCATTTGGTCTTCTATTAGAAAAGCCCTTAGTCCTCTATGAGAGGACCATTTGGTCTTCTATGAAAAGACACATTGGTTTTCTATTAGGAGACATTTTGGTCTTCAACAAGAAGACAATAGGGATTCAATGAGGGGACACTTTAGTCATCTAAGAGAAGACTCTTTGGTCTCCTATGACAAGTCCTATTGGTCTTTAGGACAAGATCTACAAGGTGAGATGAAAAAACCTCAACCAAATTCAGACTGATGTCATTTCTAAGCCACTCCTCCGACAGCTGTTAAAATTTTTCCAGTGACAGCTCATTATATTGTTTACAAGCATACAAAACCATTTTCGTGAGAACAAAATGGCGGAATTCAAGCATGATAATGTGATTTCTTTATATTTGGCTGGAAAACCACAAGTAGCTATAGTTAGAGTACTTCAGCCTTTAAATGTGAATAAATCTTTTGTGTCTCGTACCAACGCTCATTACCGTGATACTGGTAGCGTACCCCGACGTCAAGGAAGTGGACGGAAGAATGCACAACATCAGCAGAAATGGTTCGAAAAGTAAAGAAGCGACTTGATCGAAACCCGCGTCACAGTGAGCTGAACATCTTGCAATATTCCATTCGGCAAATATTGAAAAATGAGCTCGGGGTAAAGCCATTGAAATTCCAAAAGGTGCAAGAACTTACATTGCAATAGAAACAAAATTGACTCAAAAGACTTGCTTGGCCGAAAGTGGTGAACTGCCGAACTTGATTTTCTCCAATGAGAAAACATTATCGTAATTACTTGCCAAAGAGGTCAGCTCAATCTCCGGATACCAATCCTTTGGACTATTGTGTCTGGAATATTTTGGAAAACAAGGTTGGCACTAAAAAATACCAAAGTGTCGATCACCTCAAGCAAGCGCTTCGCCGGGAATGGGCCAGAATACCGCAGAGCAACATTCGGGCAACTTGTGACGGTTTCATTGGCCGTTTGAAGGCCATAATTCGTGCCAAAGGTGACAAATTCGAACAAATCTAAACTTATTCTAAAATTTGATGCTGTTTCCGACATTTTTTGCTTTTATTCAATAAAATAAAAAAAAAATAAAAATTATGGCGTTTGACTTTGTTGCAGTTTTTTATCTCCCTTTAGGCCCAAAGGTCTCCTTATTGAAGACTTGTATTTGCCTTCAATGAGGAGACCTTTTGGTCTTCTATGAGAAGACACTTTGGTTTTCTATCAGGAGACCATTGGGTCAGCTAAGAGATACCCTTTGGTCATCAAAGGGGAGACCCTTTGGTCTTCTATCAGAAGACCATTGGGTTTCTATGAGAAAAAAATGTGGTCATCTAAAAGGAGACCCTTTCGTCTTCCATGGGAAGACCCCTTGGTTCTATGAGAAGACCTTTTAGTTTTCTATGAGAAGACCTTTTAGTTTTCTATGAGAAGACCTTTTAGTTTTCTATGAGAAAACCTATTTGTCTTCTATCAGGAGACCATTGGGCATCTATGAGAAGACCTATTGGTGTTCCATAGGAGGACCCCTTGGTCTTCCATGAGAAAATCCTTTGGTCTTCCATGAGAAGACCTTTTGGTCTTTAATGAGAAGACCAATTGGTCTTTTAAAAGAAGACTATTAATCTTCCATGAATAGAGTACCTGCCTTCCATGAGAAGACAATTTTTTCTCCCATAAGAAGACACATTTTGTCTACTATGAGAACGTCCTTTGGTCTTTAACTTTTTTCTCAAAGCCAAACTTGTCCTTTTGAAATCTCCAAAAATATTGTTGTCCTGTGTAAATAATTTATAGAGATGATGATTCTATGAATTGATTCTCATTTTTTTAAAGAAGAAAAAAAAAAGAATCGCCAAAATATAGCATTATTAAAATCACGTCTATTGTCTGAAGACAATTTTTGTCCAGCAGCGTCAACGTGACTAAAATAATAGTGACAAAAAATAAAAGATTTTTTATTAACGGACGACGCAAAGAGGAAAAGTAAGCGTGAGTTAAATAAAAGTAGAAAAATGTCTTCGCATCCACAAAAAAATTAAAACCAAACGAAAATGAAAAACACAACATTTCAATGCAAATGAGTAAATTTGCGTCATCCTTACTCCGAGCAATGTCTACAGACAAATTCTATAAACGGGGTTTGAATGAACAATAATTGATAAAAAAAAAAAAAAACAATTATTTTGCGTAATCTTAAATAGTTAAGAATATCAAATACACACATGCGTATGAATATAAAAATATCATGAGGTAAAAAAATAACAAATTTAGAAAAAATTACCAAAAAAAAAAATCTTTTGATTTAATTTCAAATTTACCGCTGTATTGGAATTTAAAAAATGCAAATAAAATTATTTTTGATTATGACTACTATAAGTGCTCAGTGTTATGTACAGTATTTTATCCATGAAAATATTTTGTTTATGGTATAAATGGAAATACCGAAGCGATAAAATGGCGCGTTCCCTATAACCAAAATAAAGGTCGCTTGTAACAATGCTGACCATCAGCTAATTAAAAATGCAAGCCAAGTGCTGTCACTTTAGTAGCTGTCTTATTATGAGGTGGTAAGTTTTTTCTTCTTTTCTGCGTTAAATTCGAAAAAAAATTAAACATTTTGGTGTTAATATTATTATTATTATTTAAAAATTTTACCCAAAACTAACCCAGCCATTGACCGCTTGCAAAAATTGATATTGTATTATAGGTCATTGGCTGTGCAAAAATTGATGTATAAATAATTAGAATATATATGAAAATGATAATTACAAATGTATAAAAATTGTTTTATCTTTATCTCAGATTTCCCTCTGAGTGTTCGGTCAGAAAACTCATAAAACATGCACCTTTTAAGACGAATTCACGTGCTTAAGACATTTGTTAGCTTTTAAGTGTATGGAACACCGATAAATATGATTCACGTGTATAAAAAAATCAAGTTACAAAGTATTGGTCGGTTCTGTCACAGTTATGTAAATACTAACCATATGGGACCAAAATTAATTCTTTGTATTTTTTAAAAGTGACCGGAAATATTCCATAAAAAAACAAAAAAAATTAGCAAGAAGTTAAAAATAAAACGAGTAAAGAAAGTCTTAAAGTTGGGCGGGACCGACTTTATGATACCCTACACCACTTTGCTAATTTAGTAGAGCTCCGCATAACAATTAAAAGTTTTTATGGGAGAATTCAATCATACACGCTATGATTATAATTATAATTTAAAGTTCAAAGGACAAAATACGCCGAAGCATTTGTATCTTTTAAATTCGGAATTGTTTTGCTCATTTGGCGCATAATTAATTTGAAATCAGATAAAAATATATATGGGAGCTATATCCAAATCGGAACCGATCTCGATAACATTTGGCAAAGATATTTCTGAGCTGTATTTGATATGTTTCCCTGAATATCGTGGTTATGGAGTGCATATTACTGCTGTGGGTAACCAATATAACAAATCGGATGAACAGTATATATTGGAGCTATAGCTATATCTAAACCGATCGTCACCAAATTTGACATACTAGCTTCTAGACTCAATTCGGTCGTAAGTGCCAAATTCCATCCCATTTGGGCAAATATTAGACGTTTGGTGCTCAATAAAAGATAAATCGGATGAAGTTATATATGGGAGTTATATCCAAATCTGAACCGATCTCGATAAAATTTAGCAAATGTATTTCTGAGCTGTATTTGATATATTTCCCCAAATATTGTTGTTACAGAGTGCATATTACGGCTGCGGAGGACAAAAATAACAAATCGGATGAAAAATATATATGGGATCTATAGCTATATCTGAACCGATTTTGATCAAATTTGGCATACTCATTTTCAGGTCCAATCTGATCGTACGTGCAAAATTCCATACTATTCAGATTGATATAACACGGTTGGTGCACAATAAAAGGCAGATCGGACGAAGATATATATGGGAGCTATATCTAAATTTTGACCGATTATCTCCAATTTCAATAGGGTTCATCATTGGGCCAAACAAATGATTTGTGCAAAATTTCATCTGGATAGGGCAATAAATGAGGACGGACAGGCGGACATGCATAAATCGACTCAGAATGTTATTCTATGCAGATCATCAAAAGGAACTATGGGTCTATCTCGTTTCCTTTTGCCTGTTACAAACAAATGCACAAAGACATAATACCCTGACCACCATGTGGTGTAGGGTATAAAAAAAAAACAACATTAACATTTTCACGTTTGGTCCGTAAAGGATGGACTTAAAAGTCTACGATTTATTTTGATAACGTCCCTAAAAATATATTAAATAAACACTATTTTTTTCCCAGGAAACACTCATAAAATGTTATCTATGTTTAAGAACTGCAAGAATGTAAAAGTTGCAATACTTTTTACAGGGGAGCCCTTGAAAAAATTCCGACCTTTTAGCAACGACGGGGCTGAGGTTTTTGCCAGGAAGTTCTTTAAAATTGTTCATGCAAAATTCCTGATTTCCTGGCATCATGTCCTTAAAAAAGAATCGACTCTTGACAAGGAAGACCTTTATTGCAGTTCTTAAACCATTCCTGATATTTTAACAGAAATTCTTTATAAAATCCACAATCCGGACGTTCTTAAAGAATTTGAAGAAAATGCTTTAAAATCTCATGTCATACACAGGAAGTCCTTGTAATATTAATTTTAAAATATTCTTAACAAGACACGGTTCTTAGCAAGAATTTAATTGCAGGATTTTAAAAATTTAAGCTTGACATTTTTCTTGCCCAAGAT